AGTTACATTACTTTTTAAAAGTAATCGAAAAAGTTACACTGCAATTACATTTTAAACAAGGTAACTTGTAACTGTAACGGATTACATTTTTAAAGTAACTTACCCAACACTGTATATATAGATAAACAACTATATCGATGTGTATATAGATATATCTATATATAGATAGATGTATCTGCTAGCGTGGATATATCTGAAGCTTCCTCTTGCATCCACAGTTAATCCTGTCGGATGTGGTTCGTCCTTCTAGGTGGTATGCTGACATTACCCTGGATACGTGGCTCTTGATACTGTACATCACAAAGACTTGCTGTCTTGGTCACAGATGCGCCAGCAAGACGTGCACCAACAATTTGTCATTTTTTGAACTCTGGTATGTCATCCATAATGTTGTGTGCATTGCAATATTTTGAGCAAAACTTTGCTCTTACCCTGCTAATTGGACCTTCACACTCTGCTCTTATTGGTTCAATGTGCAATTAATGAAGATTGGTCACCAGGCTGGTCCAATTTAGCCATGAAACCTCCCACACTAAAATGAGAGGTGTTTTAGTTCCATTGTCCAACCCCTGTAGATATATCTATATATATTTCAGTGTGAGTTTTTTTTTATAATTGCGTTTTGCAATGAAATTGGTTTTGGGTGGACAGCCTGAGTAGAAAACTGCTGACATTTTCAGTTTTCAGTTAAGATGCTAGAATTACATGAAGTGTCTTTTAATTATCAACACTGATCAAACACAGATTTAGCCTGTTAAAAGTAAAGAGAAACAAAGATGCTTTTATTTATGTTTCCCTTTTTTTTTCAAACTTTTCCATTTTTATTCCAATAAGAGTTTACCTTTTTTTTATGCAGAATTACAACCGTTTGTTCGATTTGGTGAAACACTTTTGTTTTTCAAAGCCTGAAATGTTTTAATCTAATACTTGTTTTGAAAAAAAGTGAAGTAGCAGTGAGACCCCCTGCATTTCTTTATGCATATTCAGAAGTAAAACATCCACATAATAGGTAATAAATTAAGATTTGATGTGTTCTGGAAGGAACCTTTAAAAGATGTTCTCCTCTGATGGAATGGAAATCTGTATTTGTTTGTCTTTTCAACTTCAAATCACCTCAAAAATCCCACTTTAAAGACATTCTAGAAAGACTCTGAGAGGGAAAACTGTTCATTCAACTACTTACATACTTAAAGGAAGAACTCCGGAGCACATTTAGTTTCATATATCCAATGGATTATGTTTATTTTATTGCAGAAAAGCAAATTAAATAAAATATTACTCCAATATTACCCATTTATTCAACATAAACAATATAACTTACACATGTACACAGTTCAGCTTTATTTTTATTCAGCTTTAATGGTAAGATGGGTGGATAAAGGATCCTCCTCACAATAAATAGTACAACATTTTCAAAGATCAACAAATGGTATCCACAATTATGGGGGAGCCTGCACTATTTAACTTATCTAGATATCCACTAAATAGTATTTTTGAGCATTTCAATGCAAAGTTAAGTGGAAGGAAAATGTCTGACATAATAGAAGCACAAATAACAGGAAATCCCAGAGGCTAGAGAGCATTATGAAGAAGAGCCCATCCTGGGTTTGAGGGAAATGGACTCAGAGAGAGCCTAGGACTGTTGTTAATGTCAAATAATCTACAGTTCTTTCATTCCTCCCAGACACTCACCTGGGTTAAGGAGAAAATATACCTTAAATGATGCATTTCATTCAGAAATCAACATCTGTTTCTAGCAGAAGAGGCACAGAATGCAAGTTTCCAAAAGTCCAATGATTTCTAGCAGGGATTATTGCTTTAATGTCTCTGGTATAACTGCACTTGATTGGCTGACGAACTGGTTTCAATCAAACCTGTAGAGGATCTTAGTAAGAAGAGAGAACCAATGAGGCAGAGGAACAGAGAACATCTTCTGAAACCCTGATGTAAAAATAAAGAACTTACTGTTGGGTTTCAATAGGAAACTAAAGACATTTCAAACCATTAGCAAAAAAAAATAAATTCCCAACAGCCTCTAGTTGTTTAAGAAACTGTATTTTCTAGCACATACCAATTGATTTTTGCAGCCCCAGAGGGCGCTCAGGTTTGCTGTTCTGCTAACAAATCAATAAAAATCATATTTCTGAGTGAATTACAAGCTATAGAGGTCATATTTTCAACTGCTTGAGTGCGACTTATCAGTTTCCTTCAGTAAAGGGCCGACCACTTCAGCTTTTTCCATTTGCTGAATCCTGTCTTGTGTGAATGAGGCTTTGCTCTGGCTCTGTTTCAACAATACTCAGTTTCAAACTTACGTCTTGTTCACTGCTTTCTGTTGGCTTTTCATTTTTCGTTTTCATTTCTGCTCCGCCCACTCCTTGTTGTTCAGATATTCTTTCTGAATTGCATAAAAGATTCCCATCTTCTTTTGCATGTACTGCTTTTCTCTCCCCTGTCTTTTTACTGTGCAGATCAGTTCTGTGTGTCGCTAGTCTCTCACTAGCATCTATAAAGTAGTTCTCCAGCTCTGCCACAGGTCCGCTATCAGAGAAAAGGTGGTCCAGGTATGCCTCAGAGTAGTATTCTGAGGTGATGAGGTCAAGGTTAACTTGGGAGGACTTCCTTCGACCTGTTAAATACAGTTTATCTCAGAAAAATCGACACATCTAATAACATGGCAGCATAAATCTACAGAGTGTACCTATCTCTGCCTCCATGACAGACAGGGGGATGGTCACGCTCTTTCCTGACTCTCTGTCAGTCACAGTGAGACCTGTCATAGCACCCTCCTCTGGCACATCTTGGGACGGGTCAGAATTTCCTACGAAACCTCTGCATTTCAAAACGCAGACTGTAGTAGACTTATAACACCTGCAAGAAGGAGATAAAGGAGTGACTGAGTGGAAGGGAAAATGATGATGATGGAAACAAAGAAACAAACAACAAAAATTCTTAGCAATTAATCCACATTAGGATCAAATCAGTGCAGTTTTAAGAAGCATCTTAAAACATTACATTAAACCATTTAATTTGTTTCCTCGTTTTTCTTAAACAGTGTTGATTATGTGAGAACTGCAGTTATTGACAGTCTGCCTGAATATCATTACTGGCTAACTGCGAGCTGAAATGTTGGCGCTGCACTTTTTTGACACAGCTAAGCTGAATATTGAATAGTATTGAAAATCTGTCCCCTGACTTGCTTTAGCTTCAATTAACTGCATGCTATATATATATATATATATATATATATATATGTATATATAAAATCCTTCCATAGAAGCTCTGTGTTTTGCTTCTAAAAGTTAAACATTCCCAAATATTCCAGCCTGTGACCCCAAAAATAACACTGCAGCAGACTGCCCACCCCCTAAATACACATACAATTATTTTACTCTATACTTATTAATACATGTAATTATGTTTTACTCTAAATAACTAATTTTTAATTGTTTGATTAATCATTTTGCATGTATTTTTAATTGTTTAATGGGCATTTAACTGTGAATTTTTTATAGATCATATATGATTCATGCATTAGATAAATAAATTAATGTTAAATATTTTCATTTATAGTACATTTATTAATTTTACTTATAATGCTGACTTTTATGATACATTTAAGCCCTTCATATACCTCAGCAATGATTCTGTAAACCTGCCCAAAGGGTCTAAATTATACTTATTATTCTAATACTCACCAATACCATTAAATAATACAGTTTAGTAGAACGGAAAGCCTATATTTACTTTGTAATATATCTTTCCTTAAATTGGTCTGTCAGGCATTCATTTATTCATCAAAGCCTCCATCACTCACCTGTAGGCAGCTCTGATCTGTTTGAAATCTCCCCTGTATTGATCCAGTGCTGCCCTTGCAGATAAAGGTTCAGGTTTATCCTCAAAACAAGCGAGATGAACCAACATTTGGGTGTGAAATGCAGCTCCGCAGGCCCAGTGTCGGAGGGATCTGCAGGAGGGGAAAGGAAAAAAGCTGTCAAAGCTGTTATAGGCGCTGTGATGTGGGTATTAAAAGTACTGCCGTTTTTACCAGTCAGTTTCTTAATATACCTGGAGTCACAGCCCCCCCCAAGTAAACATGTCTTCAGCTGAGTGAGGATCAGGCTTAACTGGGTCTCAAGCCGGACTGAGTCCTCAATCAACCTTCTTTTATCGCTTAGGCTGATTTTACACCGCTTCAGGTACTCCTCCATAACCTCCTGAAGCTCCCAGACTCTCTGCTAAAGGCAGAAAATGCAAATATGTGGAAAATAATGAGTTCAAGACATAATAAGGACCGTATGTTAAACATCGTTAGGCTTTGTAAACAAGTAGATGCAAAAATGACGGCACACCAGAAAATGTGGAGGTATATTAGAATATCGTGTTATGTCCGTCATAAAGCATCATCATCACATAACTCATCCTTATGTCCAGACAGACTTAGGCTTTACTCAAACTTAAAACTATTTCCATATTCAAAGTTTTGTCTATCAAAAACAAATAAATGCACCAGTCCAGGTTTTGCAAATAAATATACTGGAGAGAACAAATTTTCACACTGATAGAAAAAACCGATGTCTGATTGTCATAGAATAAATAAAAGATAATAATAATAATAAAAAATACATTTTATTTTGCAGCGCCTTTCTTGACACTCAAGGTCACTTTACAAATAATACAAAAGATAAATAAAAAGAGATGAAAATACAAAGATAGATTGATATTTGGAAAGTTACTTCCTATAAAAAATATATTTTTACATATATTTTATGTCAAAACAAGATTTCTATTCAAAACCAAAATCTTTGCTCTCGATTTAGGATTTTTCTCTCGATGTGAAAAAGGTATCATGCCTGCGTTCCAATTGGTCAGTCTCAACTAAATTGACAGCTGAGTTTGCTAATAAAGACACATCATTTAAACAACTTATTTGTGCTTATCTAAATGACTGGAGCACCTCTTTGACTTTGAAATCTTTTTATGCTATTTATACTGCAAAAAAAATAAAAATAAAATTATATTTCAGAAGACGGGAAAGCCTGAATGTCTGATCCCTCAACATCTTCCCAAGATTTATTGCACAGAAGGCAGTTCTTTGTGAGTTCAGGATACTGTGAGAAAATATAGTTTCTTTTGAAATAGCTGCTCATGTCTCAGTGGGTCCTTTGGCTTTAACTCAAACTAATCACTACTATTAAAATAAGTCTTCTTCTCTCAATAATAGTGTCAGTGCAATAGTAGTGCCAGTGCAATCCGGTCCAACTGCTAAAATGGAAAAGAGCAAAGGATAGAGAACTATTGCACTAAATGTTGCCTGAATCTGTTCACCATTCTACTTTTAATATGTGAAAATACATAATTCATGAATGGCATTCTGATTCACTCAAATGCAGTCTTTGTAAGACACTACATTAGTGCTTTACCCATTTGTTCACCATTATTTAGCCAGAAAGTCACATTTTAGTGTCTTGGTAAAGAGGCAGTAAAGGTTACACAACAAATAATATTAGACATAAAACTCAAATATCATGCAGAGCAGGAGAAACGATAATAAATGATGGCACATCAACCTATGAGGAAATTATTAAGACTGACAGAAAAAAAAGAGGTTATATTAAGAAGATAAATATATTAATCTAATCCGTTAATAATTCAGGGAGCACTCTTTGCCTCGCTCATCACTTCAATTGAGGTTTCACCTGACATGACGAAGAACCTGCTGGCCTCCCTGTAACCCCCGGTGACTGGTTCGATGACGTGTAGGCTACATCCATCACCATAGTGACCACTAAGCCCACCAGGCCAGCCAGGCGTGGCTCATCAGAGAAGGCTGACAGTCGGCCAATCAAATCCCTCAGGTAGGTTGGCGCCCGTTTGCCCAGGTCCCTCTGAATCTGGGTTAAGTGAAGCAGCAATAAAGATCTATTGTAAAAACCCTGTTAGAATGACTCAAGAGCTACATTGAAATGATTACTGTTGTTTATCCTAATGAAATAAAACTACTCTGTAAACTACATTTTGTCATCATCATATTGCTCCCTGGTTTCCCCACTTATTGATTGGTGACCTCTTCATAATCCCCAGCAGGGATCAAACTCCTTCCACTTTTTGTTCTGCTCTATTTTGCACAATCCATCTTTATTAACTGATTCAAGGAAACTATCTTCTCACTCCTGCCATTAATCTCTATCTGCACCTCAGTGGATTTAAGGCGATCAATGAGCATTTCATCCACTCAAGATTTTTTTTTCCCACTGTTCCTCCTCTGTCTTTTACTTCCTTCTGCTTCCAGGTGCATTTTCATAAATGAGAAGATTACTGAAAACATTTCTCATGCTAGTAATCCAATTCAAAAGAAGGGGAAATTACAAAAACTTGTGGCTATTAAATCAACCTTCACGCCTCTCTGCATTGATGTGATCATGTATGTAAAAGTAGCCTAAAGCATAGCCAGGTACATACTGTGCAGTACATGGACATCCTTTTCAGTAAGCTACCATTTCGGTATTAGAAACTCTTGTTATTTGGTAATAACATTTTCTGGGAAACATAACTCAGGCGTTATATTTCACATAAGCCATAATCCTATAATAAAAAAAACTTTCATCTGTATTTAATTTTAACACTTGTGACCTCCTGGGTTAGTCTTTGATGTGATCTTAGAGTGATCTTCACAGGTATAAAATGTATAATTGTTTTTCTAAATTGTGGAAAATGCCTCTCATTGTCTCAAAGCCTTTAATCTGGCTTGATAAACAATTTTCAAGCAAATGATTTTACTTTTTTCTATCTTCCAATTCCTATATATCAGCTTATTTGCTGTTTTTTTTAAAGACAGGTTTTATTTAGCGTGTATTCTATGTGTCTGACACTTAAAAACACCTGGACAAGCAGGTCAAATTAAAGCAAAAAGAGAAAAATTTGTAAAATGCTCTCATATTTATGAATTAAATACATTGTTCAGCACCTTTGTAAAACAATCCATAAAACTAAACCATGCTGTCAAGGTGTTTACCTCTAGCAGGTGCTCTTGGAAGACATATTCCTCGTTTTGATTGGCTAGGAGCAAAGGATGAACCACTGAGAGGTCAGGAACTGCTCCCTGCTCCACCATGGCATCATAGATAACAAAGCCAACTGTCTCCTTCAGTTCAGCAAGCTCCTCCTCTGATGACATGAGCTGGCCCATAATGCATATAATATCTATATTTCCTATTTACTGAAAACATATCAAAAACAACGCATCATTAACAAGGCTTAAAAAAAAAAAAGGAATTACTAATGAATGCCATGATTTTTTTTTTTCTTTAATCAACTTTTATCTATAAAACATAGTCATTCCAAACCATCGCTTACATATTCCAATAATCTTCTTGCATCAGTAAAGGAGTAACCTTCCCTGGATTGTTTTGGTTTCTGACTTCCTTAATTCTTCTTCTGTAGTCCTGACAGCATCTACATTCCAGCCCAGCGGCTTGCTGTAAGTTAGCAGCAAAACTAGATCTCCCCCTGGTGGCGAGGGGCTAGAATTGCAGAGCAGGGGGAGCGATCTGAGTCAGAGAAAGCCTTAGTTACATAGATAAATATATATTTATATATAATACTGTAAAGCCTTTAAAATTGTTAATACGTTTTAAAAAGTCATTAAAACTGTTTATGAATAATTAAAATCGTTAAATAATCTATTTAATAAAGAATTTACTAAAGAGTTTCCTTTGCTGCTAACCATTTAGATCTGATTGGGTATACTCCAAGCATTCAGAAGAGGAGATGGCAATGACCTTTCTCTTCAGCACATGTCCAGCACAATGCTGAGTCCCAGATTATTGATATGACTTCAGCTGATTTGGCTTTAGAGTCCATTTGAATTCCTTACCTGTATGTTTTCTGTGCAGAAGTGCTTGAATTTGATTAAAGGAGGATCCAAGTTCAGAGCTTAGTCTGGGCAGAAATTAAGTTTTGGAAATTAAAAAGAAAAATTGCAGGGTATCAAGAGTTGGAGCAGGTCATGAAACATAAAACCAAGATCATGGCAGCAGAATACACAGATATATTTATAAATCATGCATTACAGCATTTATAATTGTTAATCATTACTTCAAATAGATAATTAGAATTGTTTCACAATCATTTAAATGATCCAGTGAGTAATTGAATACCAAATCAAAATGTCCACCATTTTTTTTTACATAGCTCAAAAGCTACAGGGCCCAATTGAATCATTCAAATTGTCAAGAGTGCAAATGTTGGGATCTGGAGGTCTGTCCACTTTTGCCCACCAGAGGGCGCCAAGGATCCCTTCCTGAGGGCGTTCTGGGTCTCCTGGAGCTGGAGCTGATTGCATTTGCTCATCAGGAGACCAGTATATAAGGAGGCAGAGGACATCACTCCAGCGCCAGAGTGTTTGCCAGTTATGGTTAGCAAGCCTGAGCCAACCTGCCTGTCTGAATCTCTGACTCCCTGAAAACGAACTTGATCTGTTTTGTCCTCTCTACTCCCCAGGTTGAACCTGCCTGAAACCAGAAACCCTGAAGAGTTTCTCTGTTGGAAATCTGTCCGTCTGATCTCTGAAGAACCCTGGAGAATCAAACCTGTCAAAGACCTGCCTGCCTGCTCTCTGAAGAATCTGGAAGGGAAACTCAAATCTGTGATCTGCAAGCACTCAAACCAAGCTCTGCCTCCACCAAGCCCTCAGCCTGCCGACAGCCTCTGTACCCTTCTGGTTCCCCCCCTCTGCCGCTCAGTTCAAACTCCCGAACAGGTACA